CTTAAAACATGGATTACTAAAGGAAACGAGGAAACAAAGTTTATTAGGATCGAGATAAGCGAATAAATAATCATAATCCATAAAACATGGATTACTAAAGGAAACGAGGAAACAAAGGTTATTAGGATCGAGATAAGCGAAAGTTTAAGCTATACTTACTGATTTTTTAAATAAAGATTAGAGAAAAAAATCATATGCATTCAAGACACGAGTGCATGGACAAAATGCGTTGTACTTAATACCATGCTACACAAGCACGAAACGACTAATCCAGCAAAAATCGTACCACCCCATATTTTCCGAATTTGCGACCTACTTGGGTCACTGCTGAACTGCCTCGCGAGGATTCCGTCACTGGCTGGTTAGCTGCAGGCGCAGAACGATTTGTAGGTTGGTTGTGGCCTCGTTTCCTATACAGATAGTTGACCGCTATGAATTCCAGCATGGAGGCGTAGATGAAGAACATACAGACGCCATCCCACATGTTCATGGCTGTAATGCTGGACACAACTGGTAAAGTTGACCGGAAACTATTAGTGGTGGTACAAAAGTTCAACATAGTGGTCACACCGATCATAACGCGGGCAGGCACAGCGTTGATGTCCAGCCAAAAGCTGATGAAGGAGCTGGATACCAAAATAATTCCCGGAACGAAAACGGTGCTGAAGTAGAAAGACTTGTCTCGGGTGAATACAAGTAATACCTTTAAACAACTGTACTCATCTGCAAAAACATGAAATGTTCTGGTCAGTTTAAAAATTCTGTTAAGCATATTCAAATTAAGTTTATACAGCTAAACTTCAACAATCAACTACCCAAAATTAGCTAAAACTTATAAAAGTCAATGCATTAATTTGATGAAACAACCCCTTGTATACAGGGAACCATCTCCCTGGAAATGAAATACCCCTTCCATAATAGTCCGTTAGCGATAATGTAAAGTTCTCTGTCTTAACATAACATAACGTTTTAGGAGTTATTGGTCCATCTCGGCTGTTCCATCCTCTAAACTAAATTATAATAATAATAATAAAAATCTTAAAGCCAGCCCTTATCATTCATATACTTATCAAGCTTTTTCTTAAACTTACTTAACTTTACTGCCCTACAACATCTGAAAGTAACCCATTCAAAAGGCCAACCACTCTGTTAGAAAAATGTCTTAGCTGAAGATGACTCCTACCTTGCTAAAATCTATATTTGTGTCCCCTAGTCCTACTATTCTCACTATTGAATATGAAAAAAGATGATGCATCAACACTATCAGTTCCCTTTACAATCTTAAACACCTCAATCAGATCCTCACTAACTCTTCTTTATTCAAGAGAAAACAATTTGAGAGCCTTTCTTCGTATGACAACCCCCCTATCCCAGGCAACATTCTAGTAACCCTTCTCTGAACCATTTCTAACAATTCAACAAAGAAGTTTCCATTTAGAAATGATTAGATGTAGGGAGAAAATTTCAGGCAAACAAACACAAAACAAAACGAAACAATGAAAAAACGTTTTTGTTTTCGTGGTGAGGTTGAGGCAGAAACCCCATGCAGGAGAATACATGGATGTGTGTATTCATAAAAAATTGAGGAAAGCAAACCGGGATAAAAATATCAAAATTAATGAAATAGAAAAGAAGTTGACGGTGAATAATAACTTCTAACACTGATTCTCAAATAAATGATGAAATAATTAAACATTGGTTTTTGTAAAAATCTAACTTTTATGAAAAAAATTGTTGGTATTTTGTGCTTTCATGTATATACAACAGTCTTGTTGAAAGCACTATTCCTAAAGGTAGAACAATTGGGGTTTTTGAAGAACCCATAACAATTAAAGTTCTCGCTTCTTGTATAAAAAACTATATATTAAAAAATAACTGTGAAAAAATATATAGAAAACAGTTACAATGACTCTTTCTAAGCTAATTTAAATATTGTATTTAGTTTATCTACTGGCCTAGTTCATGCAAACGCACTAATACCATAAAGCAGGGTAACGAACAGGTTGGAAATGTGATGAGTTATCTTTTATAAGAATGTAAAGCTTAGAATATTCCACTGTAGGTTGATTTTTTATAGTTAAAGTTAAAACGGGAGATGACAAGGCATTTATGTTGATGTCATTCTCACTATTTAACATTTTTTATTTATTGTAAACTTATTAGAAGCTATGTCTAGTAGAGAGATTTCGAAAACATAGTTTGTTTCTGTTACGTCATAATGTTTTAGTACCCTAATACGGAGATAAAAGATATTGCAAACAGAGCTTATATCTAAGGTTTTAGTAACCATATTTTTGTTTCAATAAATAGTCTCATCTTAGGTTTAACATTTTGTTGGTGTGTGATACTTATGTTTTTATTAGTAATGTTGTTTTGGTGTTTTAGATAATCATATAATGTTTGAGTAATTTTCGTCCTTTTTGGAGTTAATTTTAGGGATAGTAAAATCAGTAGCTTAAAGTATAGAGACAATGATTATGAGGAATATAAACAAAGAAACGTCAGCAAGAAGGTCGTTAAAGTATGGGAATTCGCGAAACTAATAAATCCAGTCTTCTAACTTTTACAATTGTGGCTCTGCTATAACTTTAGTGCTGTGGTGTTACAACAGATCAAATTTTGAAGAAAGTTAAAAAACGAAATCAGTAGCGAAAGTTAAACAAAAACTGAGAGATAAAAACAAGGATGGTTTAATGGTTTGTGATGAACCATACATATAGAAGTACAATATATGTTTTTAATGCTATAAAAACAACTATGGATCGATATATACGTAATCTAGCTAGCTATAGTAATATAGAATGTTGTAATGTTACAAAAATATTGAAACAAGAAAGTCAAAACTACAAAACTGAGTTACTTAAAATTTTAAAAATTGTAAATCTACTTTGGCAAATCACAAAAAACTTTAAGTAATTCAGTTTTTGTAGCTTTGACTTTTTTGTTTCCATACTTTTTGCAGCACTAAAACTTTCTATATTACCAGAGCTAGGTAGATTACATATATATCAATCCCCACTTGTCTTTACAAAATTTAAATTTTTTCATTAGATTTCTTTGTTTCCTTTTTACTAATCATATTTTTGTGAGCCAGCAATACCAAGCGTGGGGCATGCGTATACCCGATTCGATTTTATTACTCATCAGGATCTCTACCAACCTACTTTCAAATCTAATCATGTGACCAAAGTGATGAATTTCTCGAATGATCATGAATTATCAGGGAAGACCGAGTTTGTTCACGACGCCCTCGTTTTTAGCATATAAGCCTGGCAGTGAAAGCCTGCGGGATTGAATGAAGAGAGTTCCGAGTAATTTACGATTCCGTTTCGAGCTAGTGTGTGTTTTGTTAGCAAGATTGTGAATCGCTGTGATTTATAGCGTGTATTATAAAAGTTGTTAAGTTTAAAGTAACAAGAAACGTCCTGACTGTGGAATTACTGTGTACTAAAAGTTTGTAACGAGAAACAGTAAACTGGTTTAATCTCGAAAGGACTTGTATCGCTGAAGTTCCTCGGAAAGAATTTCTGCCGGAAATTAACAAACAAGCAGATACCCAACAGTATTCAGTCATTTTAAAGGTGGTTTTAAACGGACGATTTTTATGACCGTTATTTTGTTTCATCACGATCCCTACTATGAAGTACTACCGTACATAATGATATATTAAGAAACAATAAAGTCTTTTTATCGTTATCTAATACTGAAATAAGGCCTATTTACAGTGAACATCATAGCTGACACTAGAATTTAATACGGCATATTCAGGAAACGTCAAAAGAATCAGCGGATAACAACAGCGATAATACTTTGACGTTTCGGCAGCAGATTTTTATAGAAGTCCTTTCATTAGAGAAAGAGAGATCAAAACAATTTCTTTAAAACTTTCTTTTGCAGTAAATGATTAGGTTCATTTGTTCGCGCCAGTTTTCATCATTGTGAACACTAAAGTTGAATTAGCTTATTTGTTCAACCACTTTTGTTAATACAGAAACATCAACAAAAGTATTAAGACTGAGTACAAGTTTCCCTTTTTTTGTCCCTAATCACATTAGAACTTATTAGATGCATAATACTTCCACTATGAAATTAAACCAGTATGTGTAAAAGATAAGCATGAAAAAGATCTTTAAAGAGAATGTGCATTTTGAATGTTTAACCGAATAATATATAAATATTTAAATATTCTCAAACTTTATGGTTAAACGAAAGAATATTTAAAGAATCTTGGCAACGTGCCAATGATGTTGGTTTGAGGGAATTTTCGTTGTGTTTTGATACACTTTGTGTTTTAGAATATTTTCTAGCAGTTAAAACACCAATGTTTTGAAATATCAAAACTTTGATCTTTATAGTTTTTGGAACTCATAATTTCATTTTGATTTTTTTAAACAGTAGATTAAAAATAACTTAAAGACGCTTAGTTCTTTATTGGTTGTGGTGACATAACTATCATCATTTTTAAAGAAATATTAGCCTCAAAAATTTCACTGGTTTATATTTTCTCCTCAAAATCAGTGTAGATAAAAATTAAGTTTTATATGTAAATTAGAGCTTTTATAAGATTAATTTCGTATATTCCTTTTAAAATAGATTTACTTTTCACCTAAATTTTTGTAACTTGCACAAGTCCATTTAAAGAGATCAGTTAAGAGCTTCTAATCATGTCCGTAAAGGTTTAACGTTTTTCAGTGATTTTAATCTCTTTAAATAGGCGTGTGCAAGTTATATATGAGATTATCTAAGGACTTCTAATCATGTCCGTAAAGGTTTAGTTTTTCTGTGACTTTAATCTCTTTATATAGACGTGTGCAAGTTATATATGAGATTATCTAAGGGCTTCTAATCATGTCCGTAAAGGTTTAGTTTTTCTGTGACTTTAATCTCTTTATATAGACGTGTGCAAGTTATATATGAGATTATCTAAGGGCTTCTAATCATGTCCGTAAAGGTTTAACGTTTTTCTGTTATTTTAATCTCATAAGATGGACGAAAGTGTTTGACAAGAGAAGTTACACAACATGAACAAGACACAAAACATTTTTCAGTTATCGAATACAATGTAAGATCACATATGTATATAGAAAATATGAACTTTTATGATCCGACAGAAATAGTACACTAGATTGATTAAGTATCATGATGATATAGAACAAATAAAATAAAACGTTTAATACAAACACGCACACAAATTCACTTGTTGGCATCCAATCAGTTTATATTAGAATGAATACGGTGCGTGTTTCCGCCTTTTTAAAACAGATTTAAAGCAGATTAGTGGTTAATTGAGTTTCTATATCTTTCTTAATTCCAGCCTCCATTGCACTGACTCTAACCTTTAACCTTGAAGATATCACGGCAAGCCAACCAACTCTAAAAGTTAATAGTCTTATAATGATACTCAAGTTTTAAACTGATCAACTGATAATAGTATGTATGTACATCTTTAATCAGGAAACACAAAGATTAAGCAGGTCAGTTGATAACTGAATGTATGTATGTACGTACCTTTGTCACGAAAAACAAGTCTTCAACGCATCAACGTCGATAATAGACGTTCTGAGTGCGTTTAATTAGGAAACACAAGTTTTAAATGAGTTAGTTTACAAAAATAATGTGTAAAAATATCTAATCAGGAAAAACAGATTTTAAAAACAACTAAATTCTTCAGTCACTCAAACAACAACTTGCATTATTTCCTGTTGTCACACAGTTAAAGTGTTGTATTAATTTAGTACATATTTAATTATCACACAGTTGAAATGTTGTATTAATTTAGTACATATTTAAGAGCCATTCATAGAACACTTACCTCGCCACGTGTACCTGCGGTCACAGTCTCCTGTGTCGTTTTTCACCAAGTAAGCGTTATGTTTTCTCAGAGATGTTGCGTTGATTATATTTTGTTCGGTATGGGACCACTGTAACTTCACTTCGGTCTTTTCATTGGACACTATTTATTGACAAACAGAAACTGCGTGTTTCGTGTTCCAAATACCAACTTTAAAAACGTCTATTGATTTTCAACGTTTATATGTATTTAAAGATGGGACTTATTTCAAACAATTAAGGTTAATATAAATTACCCAAGCTCTCAATATATATATAGTCTTACAAAACTGTTAATAGCAATACTTAATATACAATATTACAAACTTTTAGTTTAAAATAACGTTGTTAATATGTTACAGCACATTACTATCAAGTGATGCCGAAACATGTTAGTTGACCCAAAGTCGATACTTCTTATGTTATCCTGTGTCATTAGCCTGGTCTATACTTCACAAGTGTACTTTATCTGTGTCATTAGCCTGGTCTATGCTTCACAAGTGTACTTTATCTGTGTTATTAGCTTGGTATATAGTTCTCAAGGGTACTTTATCTGTGTCATTAGCCTGGTCTATACTTCACAAGTGTACTTTATCTGTGTCATTAGCTTGGTATATAGTTCTCAATGGTACTTTATCTGTGTCATTAGCCTGATCTACGCTTCACAAGTGTACTTTATCTGTGTCATTAGCCTGGTCTATACTTCACAAGTGTACCTTATCTGTGTCATTAGCTTGGTATATAGTTCTCAAGGATACTTTATCTGTGTCATTAGCCTGATCTATACTTCACAAGTGTACTTTATCTGTGTCATTAGCCTGATCTATACTTCACAAGTGTACTTTATCTGTGTCATTAGCCTGATCTATGCTTCAAAAGTGTACTTCGTCTGTGTCATTAGCCTGGTCTATACTTCACAAGTGTACTTTATCTGTGTCATTAGCTTGGTATATAGTTCTCAATGGTACTTTATCTGTGTCATTAGCCTGATCTATGCTTCACAAGTGTACTTTATCTGTGTCATTAGCCTGGTCTATACTTCACAAGTGTACTTTATCTGTGTCATTAGCTTGGTATATAGTTCTCAAGGATACTTTATCTGTGTCATTAGCCTGATCTATACTTCACAAGTGTACTTTATCTGTGTCATTAGCCTGATCTATACTTCACAAGTGTACTTTATCTGTGTCATTAGCCTGATCTATGCTTCAAAAGTGTACTTCATCTGTGTCATTAGCCTGGTCTATACTTTTCAAGTGTACTCTAACTATTTCATTAGTCTGGTCTATACTTTTCAAGTATAATCTAACTGTGTTATTACCCTGGTCTATACTTATCATGTGTACTCTAACTGTGTTATTAGTCTAGTCTGTACTTTTCAAGTATAGTCTAAGTGTTTTATTACCCTGGTTTATACTTTTAACTTATAGTCTAACTGTGTCATAAGCCTGGCCGATACTTTCAAGTGTAGTTGAATTGTATAATTATCATAATCTGTCTATATTTCTAAGATGTAGTCAACTTGTATTAGTAGCCTGAATGTTCTTCTCAAATGTAGTAAAACCGTGTTAGTAATCTAATCTATTCTTCCCAATTGTAACCAAACTGTGTTTAGTAGGCTTGTCGATCAAGTGTAGCAAATTATAATATTAACTGTCTACATTTCTCAAGTTTAGTCGATCTGTGTTAATAACATGGTCCATGCTTGTCAGTTGCAGTCGAACTATGTTTAGTAACCTGGTATTTGCTTCTCAAAAGTACTTGAACTATGTTTAGTAACCTGGTATTTGATTCTCAAATGTACTTGAACTATGTTTAGTAATCTGGTATTTGCTTCTTAAATGTACTTGAACTATGTTAAGTAACCTGGTATTTGATTCTCAAATGTACTTGAACTATGTTTAGTAACCTGGTATTTGCTTCTCAAATGTACTTGAACTATGTTTAGTAACCTGGTATTTGCTTCTCAAAAGTACTTGAACTATGTTAAGTAACCTGGTATTTGATTCTCAAATGTACTTGAACTATGTTCTTAGCTTCATCGATACTACTACGATGCGATTTGTTTTAACGTCCTTGATGAGTCTCTTCTTATCTGAGATGGTATGTGAATCGGAAATTCACAGTTGAACAAAAAAAAAACAGGTCAATTTAACTAATCGTAGCAAAATGTGTAGAGTTTCATAGTAGTGTACATTCGAAGTTTATTATTAAATGTGTAGAGTTTCATAGTAGTGTACATTCGAAGCTTATTATTAAATGTGTGGAGTTTCATAGTAGTGTACATTCGAAGCTTATTATTAAATGTGTAGAGTTTCATAGTAGTGTACATTCGAAGCTTATCATTAAATGTGTAGAGTTTCATAGTAGTGTACATTCGAAGCTTATTATTAAATGTGTAGAGTTTCATAGTAGTGTACATTCGAAACTTATTATTAAATGTGCAGAGTTCATAGTAGTGTACATTCGAAGCTTATTATTTCTGCCCATGTGTTACTTAGAAAAACAAAATTTAGAGTTTTAATTACGAAACTAATTTCCTTCAGACAAAAATTTTAAATATGAAATTCACAGTTTTTCAGCAGTATAATTCAAAACACGAGGGAATTTAAATATATTCTTTGATCTCACTTTCCATTACATCACGCAACCAACGAAATATTTCATAATCACTTCATAGCAACAGCATACTTATGTAAACAATTTTTAATGTACCAACAGTGTATAAAACCATCCTTACCGCTTTCATAAGCAAAAGGGCACTTTGGATTGTCGAATGGGAAAATTCTCAAGTTTCCTTGACAGTTTAAAACCATCTCTCTTCTACAGAAGAAAAAAAAAACCTTCGAATTTGAATAAGGTATAAAAAATACGCATACGGTGAAATTCTTCGAGTTTGAATATGCTATACGCTAATACACACTTATTGTTATACTATAACATCCCAGAACATTTAACATTGTTATTGTAATATCTTTCCTTTTGTCTTTTATTTTGGGTACTGCGAAGGTTTTGCAGATATAAAGATTCAAAATACAATTACAGAATGATAGATAAAAACATGATATCAATAGTACTGCAGAAAGATGAAGATAGAACAAAACCTTAAAATACATGAGCCTTAAAATACAGCCATATATTTTGTTTAGATAAAATTAAATACCCGTTGCAGCATGAGAATCAATATACAAAAATATCCTTTGTTTTAGTACAAAAACAAGAAATACTCGTCACAAGATTCCCTTTGTACGTATTAATGTGGACATTTTAAAAAATTCCCTAAACTGATTTACAACTGTTTTGATATATTTTGAATCGTTCATTTCCAAATCCTTTAAAAACTTTCAGCCACTGAGCACTTACTGCAAATAATGTACATATAATGATTTATTAAATCTTAACTGATTTAATTAAAACGATCAAAAACCGAAATAAAAATTCTGATTTAATAAATAATTTGCTTTTACATCTTTATAAAAAGTTAATAACGTTAGCCAGTAGAATCCTGGGTAATAAGCTCTAACGGTTTCTGGATTAGATTATGTGACCAATACCTTTGAGTGTACTGAACAATGCCCTCTGGGGTGACACGAAGAGTAATGTGGACGGGAACCAGGGGATACTTGAAATCGCCATGTTTGATGAAATACGTTTCAGGTATCCATATTTTCCCAGCATGCGTTAATGCATTCAAAATTTTGTGTCGACCTCCATTATTATACTTGAGTCGTGGGTCCTCCCAAACTTGATGCAAAAGAAACTCCACTTCATATCGCTGAAAAGAAGCAAAGATTATCAAGTTTGAAGAGTAATTACTACGAGAACACCATGAATAGCAACGTGCATTTTTAAGTCGAACAGTTTTAATGATTAATCCTAAGCAGTTCTGAAAAAGAATATGATATATGTAAAAGTGACTTTTTATCCTGATTAAACATTTGATTTCAACTTTCACTGGCTCAGCAATGAGTTTGCAGGCTTACAATGTTCAAAATCGGGTTTCGATATCCTTAGTGGGAAAAGCACAGATAGCCCATTGTCTAGCTTTGCGGTTAACAACAACCAAATCAAACTCAGTTTATAATCCATTTGTGCATTATTGTAACTACATTTGACTAACGTATTTTGGATTGTTTTATTACATTTCCTTCTAAGCTTTTTGTAGACGAATACATAAGGAAATTATGTAGATTTCAGAGGTTTCCATTTCCCAGATTGCGAATCCCAGTAGGAGAAATCAAGGCAGTTATGTAAAGCTACTGAAGTGCCAACAAGATCAATAAGAAAGTATTTCACACAAATCACGTTTTCTGATATTACCGGCTATTTAAGTGATATTAATAACAAATTGAGAGTTACTTCTCTACTTATTGTTTTATTAGCATAAAGCTATACAATGGACTATACTGCATTCTATCCACCAAGGGGAATCGAACTCAGAATTTCAGCATTGTTTTATTGTTTGCAATTAAGCACAAAGCTACACAAGGGGCTATCTGTGCTCTGCCCACCACGGGT